GCACTTCCTCAACGGTGGGCAACTGCGCTATTTCTTCATGTATGGGATGCTGGGTTAGTTCCTCTAGCACTTGTTGGTTGACAGTAGAGGGATGGTTGAGTAGCTCAGCAAAGACCAGCCCCTATTTTTCAGAGATGCCTCTCTTTTTCTTCATTAAGGTAGATTCATCTGAACACCTTTATGGAGCCGGTCCGTTTCGATGGCCCTTAAATGGCCTTCAGTGAGTCATAAAACAACTTTACGTTGTTTGTATTGGTGTAAGGTTGTATTTCTACTTTCTTTTCCCACCAGTTATCCTGAAGAACATGAAGCCGTATTTGACTTTATCCTTCTTTGATACTGATTCTTTGCTGTTTTGTCAACACATAAACACATTGTTCTTTTCCTAAAGGATCTTTTTTTATTTAAATCATTTTCATCAAAGCTATCCTGGTGCTGTCTTCCAAATTTTGAAGGATGGCTGATGTGAATATATTCCACTTTTCGGGTGTGTCCTTGGGTGAGGATGTAATACTATCAAATTTTTCCTTTTTTTTTCCCCCCTCAGTTTGTCTTGATTAAATCAATGTCTCAACTTTGCTATGTTCAGTTTCAGTTTAAATCTGTTCAGCATTCTTTATTTCACTGAGGGGCAACAATATGGAAACTTAAAATGGCTCCAATCCTCCTGTGATCAGCCCAACTGTTTGCTTCTTGCTTGGCTCTTGTGATTGTGATGTCCCTAATATCTCTTTGCCATATAATGACATAGGCAGAGACCAGTGCTTTGATCTTAGATGCATCCATGAAGTTTTGTATTTGTCTGCTTTCCTAAAGCTTGAAGCAAGCATGAGCTCATGCTCAGCAAACTTGCTGAGTAGCAGAAGACCAGTGCTGTTCATTTTTCCAACTCCACTATTCTTTATTACACCACTTCAAGCCTCTCTGTCTTTTCTGACTCTGGCATTAAAGTCTCCCAGTAGTATGAGTTTGTCTCCCCTAGGAGTAGAATGACATAATTGAACCAGAATAGAACTGATCTTTGATTTCTTCTGTACTGTTCATGGTTAGAGCATAAGCATTGACAAGAGCTACAAAGCATGAATTTCCAGTGGGAACTTGTAGAGTCACAAGGCATTCAGTTTTGCCCACAGCTAGGTCTTTCAGTGATTTCAGGAGGCTGTTTCTAACAGCAACAATGCCATAAATTCGGTCTTCCTCTGCTGGTTTCCCTTTCCAAAAGAAGATGTAGCCACCTCCGGAGGGTCCTTTATGGACCCTTCGACTGCAAGTTTGGTTTCACTAAGGGAAGTGATGTCAATCCTATATTTAGTAGCTTCCGTTGCAATTAATGCTGTATGTCTTTCAGGTCTTGATGTGTTATCGCTGTCCACTAGAGTCTGCATGTTCCATGTCACCACACTGAGATCTTGTTTTTCTTTTAGAATGCCTGGTGTGTGGATGATCCCCCAGTCGTGGTGAACTGGGCAAATTAAAGTTGGGCAGGCAATGTTTAGGTTATGTTTTCTAACCCTTTCCCTTACTAAAATGAGCACTGGTGAACTAAAAATGGCAACACCCCAGTGGCTGAGCAGCCCAAGAGCCTTGCTGCCGAGAATCCAAGGCTGAGCGACCAGAATCCCAGGTTGCCTGCGTGCAGGTTTGTGACTAACACTTCAACATAGACCTTAGCTCAAGCCTCCCTCAAGGCTGGTTGTTCCCATGACTTCTCCCTGACAGGCTCTCAGTTACCTCAGAGAAACCCTTGGTGCCTGATTTCCACTGCCCTGCACCTTGTGTAGCCATTTACACTAATGCAAATCAGCTAATGAGATCTCTCTGGTCTGACTAACAGGGTGAGTCCAGAAAATAACTCTGTACCTCCACATAGGAATCCTAAAGCCTGACAGTGTCACAGAGACAGTCCCCTGTTGTGTTGCCTCCTTCCCCCTCCGGGAGCACCTTTAATAATTTTTTACTTTTAAAAGCTTAAAGGAGCAATATCCATTTTTCCTAAAAACTCACTCATTCACTGCAATGGGAACTCAGCATATATAGCACCTTTCAGTTTAAAAGAGAGCAAGAGGTTGCTCAGCTGGCTGGATTTGGAAATTGAAATAGTTTGGATTTTGGTAGGATGAGTACAACGGGGAAATCACAGGCATGGCATTTGTCTGATATGGGGAAGAAGTGAAGAAGACACTAAGGGCTTTTCCTCACTACCGCGCTGCAGCCCATCAATTAAGCGTGTCTGGTGAAGACACGCTACGTCAATGGAAGTGCACTTTCCTGTCAATGTAACTAATCCACCTCAACAAGAGGCAGAAGTTGTGTCAGCGGGAGAGCGTCTACCGCCGACATTGCGTGGTGTGGACACCGCATTAAGTCGATGCAAGTTACTTCGCTCAGAGGTGGGTTTTTTCACACCCGAGTGACATAACTTGCATTGACTTAAGCGGTAGTGTACACAAGGCCTAAACATGCAGTCAACAGAGGAGATCAGGTACTGCCTTTGGAAGTAGACACTGCTATTCCTCCTTTTTCATGAAGGAGTGAGGATGAACCCCTGACACCTCCACGTCACTGCAGCCCTTCCCAAGGGTGGGGAACGCCTGCCTGAAGGGACAGTTCAAAAGGAAACCAGCACTCAGCTTGGAGAACAGAGACATTAGGGGACCCCAGATGAATGAGAGAGGCCAGCCTGGATGGTTTTTAAATTGTGCAAAGGAAGCTTTTACTTTTTATTGTAAAGGGAGGTGGATGGGAGGCAAGGTGCCTGTCAACTGGACAGAATTTATCTACTAAGTATGGATAAAAATCTCAGTCCAAACCTGTAAAGCAAGCAGCTAAAATAATTCCACTCTGGAAGCTGCTCACAGCTGCAAAGGGTCAGAGAGCACAACAGCTGAAACATACTTTTGCTACATTTGTTTCTAAGTTTCCCCAAGTGGCCTTTGGGGATTTTGCCTTGTGACTTCCATGAAAGTGAATGGGCCAGATTCACTGCTGGCATAGCCAGGTGCTACACCAGGGAAGTCACGTTGAGTTGGAGCTATTCTTCTAGGGCACGTGGAAAATGGTGTGGCACGGGAGGGTCATATCAAAACAACAGTTTTTAAATACAGGCCGTGCTGACAAGAGGTTTTCTTGACCAAAGCGATTCAGGCCCTGATTCTCCACTATATCTGACCCAGTAGCAACTAGGGGGCTGTTGCTGCTCCTTGATTCAGGCTCTGGCTGTACTAAGGGCTGTACAGGGGCCATTGGAGGACATGGTGTAGCTGAGCTCTTCTCTGTCACACTCCGTTCCCTTCACTGTCCTGGATATGCCCCCACCCACTTTGAAACACTGCTTTCTCACTACCTGGAGCAGTGCTGGCGTGGCTGGTGTAGAAGCCACCTTGGCAAGATTTATGCCCGCAGCGTTCCCCTGCATGCCAAGTGCCCTTTGAGGGCTGGAGAATGCAGCTCCCGTCCCCCTGCACTATCCCCCTGTATTAACAGGGAAGGGTGAAACAAGTTGAATAAACTGCCCTTCACCTCCTTCCTTGCTGCCAAACTTTCACCCCAAGCAGCCTTTGCAGGGTTGAAAATTCAGTTAAACCTCCCTCCCCATTAATTAATTGTAGAGTTGGGCCCAAATCAATACCGTGCCTGCAAACATCTCAGGCTCTGAGGAGGTTCAGACTGGAGTCTGAACATAGAAGCTATCCCCTATCTGCTCAAATCCAGATCCCTGATCTGCAGCAGAGGACCAGCAAGGCTTTCCCAGTGTGGGTGGATTTACACCCTTGCATGGAAAATCTCAAAGTGTTTTATAACCTGTAAATATTCCCCACAATTTACAGATGGAGAAACTGAGGCAGGTTTGGGTCTAGACTACCCTGATTCCCAGCCCTGTGCCTTGACAACAAGCCTGTCCTATGTCCTGTCCTTATATTTCTGTAACTATGGGATCTGTTTGTTAAAAAAAGTATACCTGATTTCTATAGCCCATCCCAAATACATGATTGAAAATTAGGGTTAAGCAGTTAAACCCCCACTAGTTCTATAAAAATTCCACCTGATGGTTACCAGAGTGGTGTTCTGATTATTTTGCACCACTGGCCAGCTGGAAAACTGGGAGCTAAAACTTCCTATGCTGGCTATGAGCCAGCTTGTAAATAAGAGACCTTCAATTGGCTATTGAGCTTCTACCATCATTCTCCCGAACAAGGCAATAGAGCTCCTTCTCCTACATGTAAACAGTGCTGTTTTGTCAACCTTGCATGAATCAACATGACAGAAGTTACAACCAATGACAAATGTCCAGTCATTCCTAAGCTAGAGAGACAGTTACAATTCTCATAGCTCCTTGGAGAAACCACCAACTTCATAAAACTATCAGCACTGGCAGAAAGAACATAATCCAAAAGTGTTAATTCTGTAAATAAGCATGAATCGTCCCCACCAAATACTGCTAACAAAGTATTTCCCCTGTTTATTTTAAACCTGAAAGTGACACACGTGTCCGCCCCCTCCCGCAAAGGCCAAAAGCCATTGTAGACACACCCACCAGTGGTATCTGCATCTAGGATGACCAGATAGCAAGTGTGAAAAATCAGGACAGAGGATGGGGGGTAATAGGAGCCTATATAAGAAAAAGCCCCAAATATCAGGACTGTCCCTCTAAAATCGGGACATGTGATCACCTTATCTGCATCTGAGACTTTGCTTACTAAAAGTGTGTTCTTTCAGAGTGCAGGGTGGCCCAATCAAGGACATAGATTTGGTGCCAGCAAGAGTGAGGACAGAAGCTTCATAATACAGAAAACACTGGCTGAAACAATCTCTCACTTGGAACATTCAAGTTCATATTTCAGATAAGACCAGAGCAGGGAGTCTGCTTGTGGCAATACCATGTTACGTTAAAACATTACATGACCATCTAAAAGAAAGCTACCATCAATTGCAACTGCTGTATATTCCATACACTTGTGTTTACAAGTGACGTGGGGATACACCTACCCACTGCGCCTTACCCTGTTGTCCTCTTGAATCTCCCAGTCACTGGAGAAAGTTATGACATGTTGCGCCTGAGAGCAATTGGAAAACTGGAAGAGACTGGAAAACATCCTTCTGTTTTCCTGTGTGTCTGGAAATATTGCATCCTGGAAATTTACTCCGTGAGGAAGGAGGTTATAATTCTCATCCATTCTGAAACAAAAATCAGATAGTACTTACGTCATGTCAAATCATGGGGTATTTCCCCCCCATCTCTGTTGTGTTTCTCGCCTATACCAGGACTGTTGCCTGAATGGGCTACACTGCGCAGGAGACTCCTAGGCATATATTCATAGAGAGTGTAAACAGCCATTGGTCCATGACACCTGCTATCATGACAGCATTGTACACTAGCAGCGGTTCTGCCCAATAGGCTCTAAACCTGCAATGAGTTCCACACAGGCAGGCCCCTGCAACCACACAGATGTCAATTGGGCTCCTCCCACCAAGGGCCCATTGCACGACTGGAGGCATAATTTGGGATAGTCCTATATTTTGGGTATTGTTTGATTTTTCTATGCTTCAGTTTGCCATTTCTTTCCAGGTACCCACAGATCTAGATGGGCACAATTTAAAATAATCCATTAATAACTAATACAAATTAGCTTTTAGAGATATTAGCAGACACCATCAAAACACGTTTTGTTATGCTTCTCTGCCACCACTCCCCTGGTCTGAGATACACTGAGTGGTTCTAAACAAGTACTGAGTAAATTTCACAAATATTTTTGTATTTAAAGGTTCGCTGAGATGGCTTTATTCCCATATTATAGTTTCTTATTATTTTGATGACCTTAAAATGAGGATTTGGCTGGTACCCAGAAGAGCAAAGTAAGTAAATACTTGGGGATCAGAGCTAAACCCATGTGCCAAACTTTTGAGAGAAAAGACACTGGCACCTATCCAGTCTGTAAAACTGACCAGAATCTAGTGTACCTACTTTGGTCTCATAGAAACAAAAAGGCTGAGCTGTACACAGCTAAATAACAGCTCAAAATAAATCTGGTGCACAGGAATACCAAATTATTGTTTGAAATGCTGTATCTTTTTGGTCATGAAAGACATTACCATGGTTTGTAAATGAGCAAGATCGCTGTAAGAAGTTAATACCACAAATCACTGAGCAAAAATTAACAAGATGGGAACAAATGCCATCTGCTGGGATGTTTATTTTTCTTTAGAAAGCGGTGCTTCATCGTTTAGTATTTTATCTGCTGCAGGCTTCTAAAACAGATATTGTGAGGGGGAAAAATCACTTTTACTGAGTTTAGTTTTCAAAAGATAACTTGATTTGCCTCTCCGTTATTAGCTAGAATGTTTGAAAAACTTTATACCCTCTATCTCAAGTTGGGAAAAAAAACAGTAACATGCTCAGTTCTAAACCCAAACATAAGAATGGCCATACTGGGTCAGACCAATGGTCCTCTTAGCCCAGTATCCTGTCTTCCGACAGTGGCCAGTGCCAGATGCTTCAGAGGGAATGAACAGAACAGGGCAATTTATTGAGTAAGCTGTCCTCTCATCCAGTCCTAGCTTCTGGCAGTCAGAGGTTTAGGGACACCCAGAGCATGGGGTTGTGTTCCTGACCATCTTGGCTAATAGCCATTGATGGACCTATCCTCCATGAACATACCAACTTGTCTGTCAAAAATATTCTACAAAAAGAAAAGGAGTACTTGTGGCACCTTAGAGACTAACAGATTTGTTTGAGCATAAGCTTTCATGAGCTACAGCTCACTTCATCGGATGCACAACTTTCCAAACTGTCTGTATAGATCATGGTGCTTTTACCAGTCTTCACACTTCAGCTGGCTAGTTATACAGTACTTCACATCAAAGAAACTGACACAGAGGATTAAAATTTATAGAACACTGTAAATATCAACACTGGAAATGTAAGATCCAAACCACAACAACTATAAACAAGCTATAGTAAAATGCATTGTTCGATTTTTGTTGAGGTCATAAAATCATTTATAGATATATCTGTCACACACCCTAGATTTCAAGTAAATTGAACATGTTTGTTTCTACTTTCTGTAGTCTAGGAAAGCACTAATTAAGCACCACTCCTTCCAAGAAAAATCACAATAGAAAGTATTCTCCTCTGAACTGTGTAACACTCACATCTTCTCTGCTAGGTGAATTTGTACCTACCTGAGCAACAATAAGTATGAAATTCCACTCTCCAAAGAGACGAGACTTGCTCTCCCACATGTGCTGCAGCTGGTACTATTATCTCTAACAGAAATGTACAAGGCTCATCCATGATATAGTTACACACCAGAGAACATTTGTTTTTATTCACTCACTATACAATACTCAGTCATTTCTGGCGGCTCCCGATGTATTTTAGTTACAGAAAACATACCGGACTAACTTTTGTTTGGCTCAGAGAAGCTCCAGAGATTCAGCTGCACACAAAGTGAAGATGAAGTGAAGGAGATGCTGGGGTGAAAGTGTTCTAGAAGTGCAGCGCATTTATGAACGAGAAAATGTTCTCGCTCGTTCTCAAGCAGGGCATGGGCCACACGTTTGTACTCACCTGAGAAAGAAGAAGTAAGCGTAATCCTGCAGGACTGTGTGGGAGTGACAGGAGAAGTAGCCCAGTCCAGTGAGGTTAAGCCTAGAGCCTGCAGGGACTTCCAGCATGCTTCCCCAAGCCTGGTCACACAGCATCTCTATCTCAGCCGAGTAAAAGAGCCCCCCCTCGCTGGCTTCATATTGCCAGGGCAGGTAATTATACATGCTGTACATCTCCTGGTGGAGTGCCAGCACCTTGGCGTACACTATGATCTCTGCCAGCTCAGCCCTGCAGCTTTCACTCAAGGGTCTCCAGTCTGAGGGCAGCTGACAGCCCCAGCATGGGCTGAGCTGCCTTCCAAGGTTCAGCAGGGCCAGCAGCAGCATGCGCAGCATGATGGATGAGCGCACAGTACACGCCGGACACTTTGGCTTCCCAAGGCAGAAACTGCAGCTACTAGGCTGCCGCAGCGCGTGAAACAGGATCCCTGCGCACTGACCCCGCTTACTGGTGAGGCAGGGGCTGGTGACTGGGGGCTGAGCCCCACCAATCAGGCAGGCGGCGTCCAACTGGAGCGAGGGAGGGGCCGTGACAGCCCGGCCGCCGCGCCTTGCCCAGAGCCAGCCTCGCACGGGCTACAGGCAGCAGCGGGAGCGCAGGCGCACAGGGGACTTTTCAAAATTGGAGCAAGGCGTCTGCTGCCCCTGCGCGTCTGCGCGCTGCCTGCGGGGAGAGGACGGAGCCCCCGGCCGCAGCCTGCCTGTGCTCTGAGGGGAGAGAGGGGGGAATGGAGAGAGAGGGAGGAGAAGCGGGACTAAGGGAGATGCCTTGTGGCTGGGTCGCAGATCTGGGTTGCAAACAGATCTCTGGCTCTGCCTCTTTCTGTGCCCTTGAGCATGTCACTCAATCTCCCTGGCCAAGATCCTCAGAGGTGTTTAGGTGCTTTACTCCCACTGAAGGCAAACACCTGCCTTTGGGGATCTGCGCCCCAGCTCCCCCATCTGTCAAATGGGGAAGCTACGTCCCTATCCGCCCGTGTGAAGATAACATGCATGAAGGTGCCTTGGTCCCCACTCCTGCAGCTGGTTCTGGGTGGGCAGACCCCTGCGCCCATGCTGACCCCCTGGGCAAGGCCAACAGGGCGCCATGCTGGGCCAGCTGCAGGAGCAGGAGACAATGTAAATGCTATGGGGCAGGAACGTGGTTTGTACCGTGCCTGGCACGGTGGGGCCCTGGTCTGGAGTGGGATCTGTGGGTGCTGCTGCGGTGCAAATAATAGCCTAGAATGACTGTGTTTGTCAGGCACTCGGAGTCAGTGGTGCTGGGGGCACCCTACATAAGAACGCAGGCAGGCAGGATGGGGTGAGGAGTGGATGATAAGGGGCAGTAGAGACTCAGTCATAGAATTAGAGTGGGAGACGAGGAATGGGGTAAGAAGTGAGAGGAAGTGGGATTGAGTTGGTGAAGTGAGGGACGACTGAGGAAGAAAGCAAAGGAGAATGTGTGGGCTACAGCTTCCCTGTATCCTCCTTTCCCCTACCCAGTGGGAAGGGGAGGAGTGGAAGAATACCCCTTAACCTTCCTCTCTCATTCAATGCACAGGAGATGAGGAGGAAGAAGACCAACTTCTGGGCAGGGGAGAACCCCTTCCTGTCAGCCCATCTTTTCTTACCAGTCACATGTTACCCCAGGCTACTTCTCTCCTCCACCTCCTGCTTCCCCACTTTGCTTACCTATATTAATTTGTTTCAGTCACACATATTTAAAAGCACCTATCCCTAGCTCTAGGCATTTTTTAAATCACACACAAGAAGAAAGATAAAAATAGAAAGGCAGGTCCAAGCACATCAACCCTTTCCTACCATCTCATCCTATCACATCACAACCTAGAGGTGTCTAGCGGTACATTTTGGTCTCTTCTGGTTAGCAGGACTACTAGGCCCTGGAGAATGTCTCCAAGGCTCTGACTACCACTTCAGCAACAGGATACATCTACCAGGGAGCATTTGGATCTCACACCTCTTACAGGTATTTCCTGAGGCCAATGGCACTGAAGACCACCCAACTCTGTTATAATAATAATTACATTTACTATTACTGCCCTTTATCTGAGGATCTCAAAGGGCCCAAACCTGATCAACTAAAGTTGATAGGAGCCAGGAATTAGGGTTACCATATTTGAACATTCAAAAATGAGGACACTCCACTCCACTCCACTCTATTTCCTTGCGCAACCCCCGCCCCTGGCCTGCCCCAACTCCGCCCCTTCCCCGCCCCCATTTCAACCCCTCCCTGCCCCATTGGTCTCCTTCCCTAAATCCCCGCCCTGACCCCTCCTTCTCCCCTGAGTGCACTGCGTTCCCCCTTCTCCCACCTCCCTCCCAGCCGCGCAAAACAGCTGTTTCGTGGCGCAAGCACTGGGAGCTAGGGGGAAAAAGCAGGCACTCTCTCAAATGATCAACATTCACTTTCTTTCTTGAATGATCAACATTCACTCTCTTTCTTGAATGATCAACTTTTCTTTGCGGAAAAATAATAATGGCAAAATCCTGGACGTTTTTAGATATTTAAAAATTCCTCCCAGACGGTGATTTAAGAACCAAAAAGCCAGACATGTCCTGGAGGTATGGTAACCCTATAAGAATAGGCCCAAGGCACCTATAAAAGTCTTGTTAGCAGCTATACATCATGCAAAGTTAGTTAAATAACACTGGCTCAACTTCTGCTCTCAGTGACACTGGTATAAATCTGGAGTAACTTCACTAAGATCAGTGGAGTTACTCCAGATTTACACTGACAAAGCTGACAGCGGAATGTGGTCCAGAATGTTAAATAAATGCAATATTCACTTTTCATTAGTAGACAGTTCTCCTATACCTTAGTTCTTCTTCATAAATTTTATGGAAAAACAGCAAAGATCTGCCTAGAAATAGATTTTTTAAAATTTATCCCTCCTCCCCCCTCATTCTAGAGTAAATTTGACTGACAGACTCAAACCTTTTTCAACAGTCTTCAGAATCTGTTTCTTGGAGAGCAACATATTGATTCATAACTGTCAAGAAAAGCTTGATGGGGAAGCCACAATAATAAGAAATAATAATAAGAAAAATTACACAACAAAGGTCAAGGAATCAACAAACTACATGTGATTTTGAAAATGTAATCTCCCAGGGCAAAGTTCTTTTGTTTTGCAAACTGTGCCAGAGCTGTGATTATTAGGGGATAGTTCACAGGTTTGTTCTACAGATTTTGGGTGCAAATCAGAACTAATGTTCTTATTCAACTCCCACTGAAGTTGAAGATTCGATGTCATTGAGTTCAAAAGGAGCTGAATTGGACCCTACTGTATTGCTGTGCAATGCTGTATGTAACAATTATGAAGGCATCGGTGGTAACCCCTTAGTTAAGTTTGTATTGAAATTTGCACTTAAACAGTACTCAACCCTCTGTCAGACTTCGGTCGTTGGATTTAGGCTCCACTTTTAGCACAGTAACTCTTCCAGGGACCTTTGAATAGTCCATGTAGTTTTTAAAGAGAAATCTTGACTAACATTTGCCAAGGAAACATTTAAAAATACTCCCTCTTTGAAATGTTGCCCTGCTTTTCTCACATTTACTTGGGTTTGGGGATTTCCCTACACCCCCCAATGGGGGTGCTTACCCCCCCTGAATTTCCCCAACGCCCACCCTCCCACACACACACACACACACGCGAGTTCTGTGAACTAGTTACATACTGTGTTGCCAATTTATTGATTGTTTGGAAATGTGAATTGAAATTGAAACATTAATACACACTTTAAAAGCATATACAGTGTATGATAAAATACGTGTATCTGAAAAAGTATAATAGATTTGAAAAGTATGAACATAGACTAGCTTCCTTATACAGCTGTTGTTTTTATGACCATGTCAGTGCATTCATTTAGGTGATGTTGGCCAACCTAATAATTTCAAATTATGATTTGTAAGCAAAGCCTAAATGAGCTCTCCCTGACAGCTAGTGATGAGCTGGGGGCTGGGGGGAAAGGCTTCAGGACCAGATTGTATTTACATTCACACCTAATCTACCTAGGTATCCAGCAAACAGAGCTGTGTTGCCCAAGTGATAGATTTTGGCTGGGGTTGGGTTACAAATCACTTGAAAGCGGGGGGGTAAAGAAATGTTGTTATTCTTATTGTATGAGTAAAGGGCAGTAGAACTGTACTTAGCCTCTGCTGATTAAGGGCATAGAGAGAGAGAGTGGGGACAGGTGTTTTGCTTGATGGTCTGCCTGAGTCAGAAGTACTATTTGACCTGCCCCTCTCCACTGTTTAAAGACAGAGCTGATTAGGCTCCATAGATAGTCTTTTGTTCTGTTAAGTGACCACAACAGTTGAAATCACTGATGATCAGGTCTAAGTGCTTAGACCTGCTGTGGGACAGTGTTTCTGTGGAAGAGACGGCCCAGTCTGCACTAGCAGCAAGGTTCCCCCACTGAGAGCTCAGCTGAAATCACTGAGAGCTGGGTGGAACCTCATGAGACCAACTCACAGAGGTCACAGTGGCAGGTAGCAGCAGAAGGTGACAGCACAGGGCCATTGGCAACAGAGCGATGGAGTGAATGGTGGCACAGCGAACAACAGTGGCCAGAGCGAACAATGAGCAGCTGGAGGAACGAGCAAGGTGCTTTCTTGCCCCCCAGCTGGGAGGTGAACTCATGTGAAAGCAGCTCTGAACTCTGCGTCTCCACTGACCAAGGACAACACCGGTGTGTGTTAATGAGGCTGTTAAGAATGCTGGAGACACAACACAGTTCATGCGAACAAACATGGCCGTGGCCTCCTACTTCCTATTTAACCAAGAGATACCGCACACCACAAACTGGGAGGCCACTGTTAAGGGCATTGTCACTTGTTCATCCTGAAGTTGAACATTGCTTCCAAACAAGACCACCAAATGCTCACTATCTTTCTGCAAGAAACTCAGCTGACTGGCTAGAAGCATGCGGTGCAACAGTGAAGGACTCAACAGTTGAAAAAGTGAAGAACTCTCTCACCACATTCAAAAAATTTGCATACATGGCTGATGAATGCACCAATGCAAATGGTCATCAAGTATTAAGTCATTGTGTTTGTTATCTTGATGTCAGTGGTAGGCCAGTAGATGCATTTCTAGATATTCAAGTTATAAAAGACAGATTGGCTGCATCTGTGACAACCCACATCTTAGAAGAGTTAAATATTTGTCAATGGGACCCCAAACCAATGGCTGCTTGTGCATTTGATGGAGCTGCAAACTTCTCTGGAAGACATGGTGGAGCACAAGCTTTGCTCAGAGAAAAGCGTAACCCTAATCTCTCCTATACACACTGCAGAGGCCGTCTACTCCAACTAGTGCTAGTACAAGCTGCAGACTCTTCAAAAAATTTTAAAAATCTATAAATGTAATGTCTTCATTATATTCTTGTTTTCAGCAAGAATCCAAAAAGACTGAATATCTTGGAAAATATAGACGATACACTGGGACTGAAGTTCAAATTAGTCCAACCTGGGAAAGCCCTCTGGCTTTCTCATGAGCGATCCTTGGCTGTTGTCTTAAAATTACTCCAGCCTTTATTACTGGCTTTGGAAAG